AAAAAAAAAAAAATTTTGTCTCAATGGTGGCATTTGCATCTAAATGGATGGAGTTAGAGAATATTGTGCTAAGTGAAGTAAACCAATCCCCAAAAAACAAAGGCCAAATGTTTTCTCTGATATGTGGATGCTGATCCATAATGGGGGTGGAGGGAGCATGGGAGGAATGGAGGAACTTTGGAGGGCAAAGGGAAGGGAGAGGGCATGGGGGTAGGAAAGATGGTGGAATGAGATGGCCATCATTACCCTAAGTTCATGTATTAAGACAGCAATGGTGTCACTCTACTTTGTACAACCAGAGAAATGAAAAATCGTGTTCTACATGTGTACTATCAATTGAAATGCATTCTGCTGTCATGTATTCAAATTAGAATAAATAAAATTTAAAAATATATTTATCTCACCAGGCATGGTGGATCACACCTGTTATCTCAGCTACTTTGTGGTGAAGGGCTGGGGATGCAGCTCAGTGGTAAAGTGCCCCTGGGTACCCGAAAAAACATTTTTTCCCCTCGTACTGGGGGAAAAAGAATTACCTCTATTGACCCCTTTAGGAATTTCATATATATATATTAGTTGTAGCTGGACACAATGCCTTTATTTTATTTATTTTTCATGTGTTGCTGAGGATGGAACCCAGGGCCTCGCACATGCTAGGCGAACGCTCTAACACTGAGCCACAACCCTAGYCCCCCATTTAATAAAGGAAACGCCATTGGTCCACCCTCGCCATTAGCCTAGCCATCAGAGATTTAAGTGCAAGGGTACTTATAATCTAATAAATTAGATACAACCAGTAGTCTGTGATTGAATGATAGATAATGACGATTAAAAGCCTTTGAGTGCACTGCAGAATGCCCAGGAAATGACGCTATCCCGAGAAAGCACAGGAAGACTCTGATAGAAGCCAAAAGGAGGGTGGACTGAGGGATCTGCAAGGCCCAAGCCCGGAGGGAGCCTTTCCGGAGGTCCACGTCCGTAAGCAGGGGGCGAAGTCTAAACCAATGAGCGAAGACTAAGATAATAGCGAGGGCTGGACCAATGGCGACGTATCACCGTAGTCTAGATGCTAGGCTGGACCGTCCAGCGGCTTGAATGAACTGAAAGAGTCCTTCCCTCCGCTTGTTCGGTAAAGCGCCCGGGGCTTCCTCCACAGGGAGCCAAAGTCAAATACCRGGGAGTTCGGGGGGCCTCAGTTAAACCCACCCGCCTGCATTGTGAAGCCGGGACAGCAACCTGAAAACCGCTGCGAGGGCCCAGGACGTCCCCCGGAGTCGGATCCTGGACCCGCCCGGTCCCATTCACGCGTGGCGACCACGCCCCCGCACGCCGATTGGCTGAGTCTCGTCGGCCCGGCGCCGCGCGGGGAAGACCCGGAGAAGCGCGAGCAGCCTAGGAATGGGTTCCCGCGACCTAGCTGCGCATGCTCGCTCGCCCCGTGACCCCTGCTTGAGGTGACTGCTGGAGCCGAGGCCGGAGACCCCCCAGCACCCGCGCGGAGGGACCCGCCGCGACTCTGTCGCCGGAGAGGGAGGGCACGCTGCGGTCGGTGAGGACGGGTCCCAGAGGCAGGGAGGGGAAGAGACCGCCCCGGAGCATCCCGCGCCACGGATGGACGGCTCTCGGGGTCCCGGAGCTGCTGTGCTGGGGAAGGGGGGTCGCCGGCTCTGCCGGGTTTCCGGCTGCTCCTTGTCCGACACACGCGATTCGCCTCCTTTATCCTGGTTCTCCTTCCCCCAAACCTCCCGACCCGGGACTAAGCCTGGCGCCCCCAAATCGGGGAGCCCCACATCGCCCSCCTTACCCAGCACTGTCCACCCCGCCCAGTGACTGCCCATCCTGCACCCACCCCTGTCTGGTCCCTTCTTCGCGTCTGGTGGTCTGTACAGCGACGGCAGCTAGTAGGAGGCGTGAGGTCTGTGGGCTTAGTCGGGAGGTGGTGGCATTGGTGGGAGAGGAGCGGGAACCTGACTTTTGGGCCCAGCCCAAAAGCATTTGACAGTGTTTGACTGCACTCATAGGAATTTCATGAAATCTTTGCCATCAGAAATTTATCTGCATGGGTATTTATAATCTAATAAATTAGATGCAACGGGGAAATAAAATTCTGAGCCAGGGGAATTAGGGGAAGGAGTTGCCTTATTGAAATTCCCATTTTGGGGAAGCTCTGCCCTGCATACTACAGTTTTTGACCTTTTGAGGGGAGTCGCTGCCCGTTGTGTTTTTTGTTTTTTTTTTTGTGTGTGTGTGTGTCAGGGATTGATCCCAGGGGTACTTAACCACTGAACCACATACCCAGCCATTTTTATGTTTTATTTTGAGACAGGGACTCACTAAGTTTTGCTTAGGACCTCACTAAGTTTGAGCTTGGCTTTGAAATTGCTATTATGCTCCTGCCTCAGCCTCCTGGGTCGCTGGATCTCCCTGTGAGGATATGTCCTGCACACCTAGGTATACCAGCATCCCATCGCCATCCAATCACAGCCCTCTATGGTTGCATTGGACAGTGATTGAGGAGCAGCTGTTGGTATTACCCAGAACTTTTGCAAACATCGACTTTACCCTTCACCTATCCATATAAACAAACCCTACTAAATTCACCACTATTCCCATTACAGATGAAAACAGCCCATAGAGGGGAAAGCATTTGTCCCTGAGGCTGCAGGTACTGGTAGACCTTGATATTTCTCTTTCATATATATGAAAGTAATTCTCTTGATCCACCTAAGATATCAAACAAAGTGCCAGGTTTCCAGAATCTCACTGGTAAGGTATTGGACCTTGTATTATTTTCCTATGACTTCCATAACAAATGTAGTGGCTTAAAACAACACATCTTTATTACCTTAAAGTTGTAGAGAACAGAAATCTCACACAGGTGTCACTGAGTTAAAATTGGACAGGGCTGTGTCCCTTTCTGAGACTCTAAAGAGAATCTTTTCCTTGCCCTTTTCAGCTTTTAGAAGAAGCAACCTGTGTTCCTTGGCTTGTGACCTCCTTCCTCTTCTTGAAAAGGCACATTTCATCTAGTGGACTCTGCTTCTGTCATCACCTCCCTCTCACTTCTACTGCCCTCTCCCACTTTTTTTGGGGGGAGGGAGTACAGGAGATTGAACCCAGGGGTGCTTAACTGAGCCACATCCCCAGCCACTTTTATTTTGTGTCTCACTAAGTTGCTTAGGGCCTGGCTGAGTTGCTGAAATTGGCTTTGAACTTGTGATCCTCCTGCTTCAGCCTCAGAGCTGCAATATTACAGGCATGAACCACCATGTTTGGCTCCCTCTCCCGCTTTTAAGGACTCCAGTGATTACATTAGGCCCACAGAATAATCTCTTGCTGAGCAACTTTAACTCCCCTTTGACAAGTGAATTAATATATTCACAGGTTCCAGAGATTAGGATCTGGACACAGACCTGAGGGTGTATGACTTCTGCCAGTTCGTTAATAGTGCAATCTTGGGTTTGGGTCTACACTGAGCCATCTTTATGCTTCTGGGTCTCCTTGCTCATCACACCATGATCCACATCATGAGAGCTGGTTAGTGTAAAGGGGTGCCTGAGTTTCATAGCAATGTCAAACCATCAGATTGCAGAATTGGGAGGGCATAAAATGAGTGAAGTAAAGCAACTGCTAAGCCTTTTGAACCTTTTAATTTGTTTCTCCTTTTTTTTTTTKTTTTTTAAAAACCAGTGATTGAACCCAGAGGTACTTAACCACTGAGCCACATCCCAGCCATTTTTATCTTTTATTTTGAGACAAGGTTGCACTAAGTTGCTGAGACTGGCTTTGAACTTGAGATCCCCCTGCCTCATCCTCTCCAGCCACAGGTGTGTGCCACTGTGCCTGGTGAGAGTTCCAGTTTCTTCTCATCCCTGCCAACACTTATCTGCCTTTTCTTTTTTTTTTTTTTTTTTAAAGAGAGAGTGAGAGAGGAGAGAGAGAGAGAGAGAGAGAATTTTTAATATTTATTTTTTAGTTCTCGGCGGACACAACATCTTTGTTGGTATGTGGTGCTGAGGATCGAACCCGGGCCGCACGCATGCCAGGCGAGCACGCTACCGCTTGAGCCACATCCCCAGCCCCTGCCTTTTCTTTTATTGTTTCCATTTAGGTAGATGTGAAATGCATTTCAGTATGGATTTTATTTGCATTTCATAATGCCTGATGATGAGCATCTTATGTATAGGTCATTTGTGTATCTTCTTTGGAGAAAGGCCTGTTCGGAGTTTTGCCCATTTTATAATTGGGTCATTTCTTTTTTAATTATTGACTTGTAGTGTTCTTTATAAATTTTAGATTCAAGTTCTTTATCAACTATATAACCTGTAAAAATTTTTCTTCCATTCTGAGTTGTCTTTTAATTTTCTCAATGATTAAAACACAAAACTTGCCAGGTGTGGTGGTGCATGCCTGTAATCCCAGTGGCTCAGGAGGTTGAGGCAGGAGGATTKCGAATTCAAACTAGCCTCAGCAAAAGCGAAGTGCTAAAGCAAATCAGTGAGACTCTGTCAAAAAAAAAAAAAAAACAATAAATTTTTAAAAATTACATTGTGTGGTGGTACATGTCAATGTGGTAGTACATGCCTTTAATCCCAGCAGCTCGAGAGCCTGAGTCAGGAGGATCACAAGTTCAAAGCCAGCTTCAGCAATGTAGTGAAACCCTGATCAACTAGGTGAGATCTTGTCTCAAAATAAAATATCCCCAAAGGGCTGGGGATGTGGTTCAGTGATTAAATGCCCTTGGCTTCAATCCCCAATATATTWAAAAAGTTATTTTTGATGTTCTAGGATTGAACCCAGGGCATAAGCACTCTGGGCAAGCTACTTTCCCAGCCCACAAATACTATTAAACTATACACTTTATTCAGATTTCATAAATGTCCACTAATGTCCTTTTTCTGTTCCAGGATCTTATCTGGTATCCCACATTGCTTCTAGTCTGAACTTCTTCTTAGTCTCCTTTCATCTGTGAAGGAGTCAGTTTTCCCTTGATTTTGATGACCTTGACAGTTTTGAAGAATATCAGCTGGGCGTCTTATAGAATATCCCTCAAGGTGGGGCTGTCTGGGATTTTCTCATGATTAATCAAGGATGATGCTTTTATTTATTTATTTATTTATTTATTTGATGGTGCTGGGGGTTAAACCCAGGGCCTTGTGCATGTGAGGCAAGAACTCTACCGAGTGCTGAGCTGTATCCCCAGCCGAAGGGTGATGCTTTAGAGGGAAGGATCACACAGATGTAGGGTGCCCTTCTCCTTATATTGCACTGCCTGTCATCCACACATCCTGTGACCAATGTCCTTCACCAGCTGGTTGAAGTGGTATCTACCAGGTGTCTCCCCTGAAGAGTTAACGTTTTTTACTATTCTTTATCTTTGGAAATGAGTCACTAAGGCTAATGACAATCAAGGGAGGGGACTTCAGCTCTACCTCCTGGAGGGGGGAGTATTAGCCTGTACTGTTTAAAAATCTTTTTTTTTTTCTCTTTGCTTTTTGAGATGAGATCTCAAAAATGTGGCCTACTCTCACCAGCTGTGTGCTACTGGGCCATTCACATAATTGCCTGAGGCCACTATCCTCCTGGGTCAGAGCAGGGGTGATGGTGTGATGGTGACACTTGGAAGGAAGGTCATTGGGTTACAGCAGCGGAGGTCAGGGCTGATGTCATAGCATCTCACTTCTGACTCAGGTCATTTTTGTTCTGGGTGAGTGGGCCCCAGGAGTGGGGTGCACTCTATCTCTTGTCTCTTACCTGCCACCAAGTCTCTGTCAATGTGTCTATAATTTTGAAACTTTTATATTGATCTCTTTATTTTTTGTGATGCCAAGGATTGAACTCAGGGCCTCATGTGTGCTAAGCATGAGCTCTATCACTGAGCTACACCCCAAGCCAAATATTAATCTTTCTTTTCTTTCTTTGGTATTGGGGATTAAACCCAGGGGTACCTAACCACGAGCCACATTTCCAACCCTTTTTATTATTATTATTATTAGTAGTAGTAGTAGTAGTAGAACTGGGGATTGAACCCAGGATCTTGTGCATGCAAGGCAAGCACTCTACCAACTGAGCTATATCCCCAGCCCCAGCCCATTTTATATTTTAATTAGTGACAAGGTCTTTGCTAAATTGCTTAGGGCCTGGCCAAGTTGCTGAGGCTGACTTTGAACTTGCAATCCTTCTGCCTCAGCCTTCTGAGCTGCTGGGATTACAGGCATGCACCACCACACTTGGCCTTAATCTTTCTTTTCTTTTTTTCAAAAAACATTTTTTTTTGTCGTTGTAGATGGATACAATACCATTATTTTACTTATTTATCTTTATGTGGTGCTGAGGATTGAACCCAGGTCCTCACACATGCTAGTTAAGCACTTTACCACTGAGTTACAACCCCAGCCCCAATCTTTATTTTCTTGTATGATATTATATTGTATAGAAACAGAGAACCTTTTCTCTGAGTAATGGACTAATGAAAAATTTAGTTTGTGAGTAAATGTGTCTTATCTTTTCAAATGTTAAATATGTTTCCATTGTAAAATTAGTTCATGYCCCCCAAAAAGTGACCTCATGGAGATTATAACTTTTTTTTTTAAGAGAGAGTGAGAGAGGAGAGAGAGAGAGAGAGAATTTTTAATATTTATTTTTTAGTTCTCAGCGGACAGAACATCTTTGTTGGTATGTGGTGCTGAGGATCGAACCCGGGCCGCAYGCATGCCAGGCGAGCGCGCTACCGCTTGAGCCACATCCCCAGCCCTGAAGATTATAACTTGAGAAAATAATGGATCAGTGAAAAATGAAGTTGGTGGTTCCTAGCTGCAGTTGGTTGCCCCYAGCTGCATCCCAGGTCTACTTTCTAGAGCCCCTAACCCCAAAGGCTACCTCCRCTGACTGGACTTTTGCCTCCTCCCTTAGGAGAGAGCCCCTGGACTCCCAGGCTCCTGGACAGGGAAGAAGAGGAAAAGAAACCTATTTGCTGAACGCTGAGCGTGGGTGACCTGAGGGCTAGCCTGTTGGTTCCAGGATGTCGCTGCCCAAGTCCAGTGATCAGGARGGCAAGAGTGTGAAGGCTGACCAGGAGCCGTCCCCGGAGGCGAGCACGGATGTCATTCCGGCAGCCCCCAGGAAACCCAGGAAATTCTCCAAACTGGTCCTGTTGACAGCCTCCAAAGACAGCGCCAAAGTGGCTGGGGCCAAGCGCAAAGGAGTACACTGCATCATGTCCCTGGGGGTACCAGGCCCTGCCACCCTGGCCAAAGCCCTCCTTAAGACCCATCCAGAGGCTCAGCGGGCCATTGAGGCAGCCCCTCAGGAGCCTGAGCAAAAACGCAGCAAGCTGGACCCTGGTGAGACTCTGGGAGCCAGGGATGGACCCTCCCAGAGACAACCCGTTCCCTCTCCTAGTTGCCCCCACACAGCTGGCTCCTTTTCTAAGAATCCCTGCTGCTCCCTCTGCGTTCCTGGCCTCCCTTCCCCTTCTTCCTCTAAGCAGGTGGCATGAGGTTATGGGTGCAGGCCCTGTATCCATGAGGGGCCTAGGACCCTGCCTTGGCCCCAGTGCTGTGAGGTAGTCTTGTCCCTCAAGATCTGCACCTTGCTGTACCACAAGTGTCTGAGCTGGAGGTGGGCCTGACACCATGCTGCATGTGGGAGAAAGGGGGCTGCTGCTTGTTCTTAAGACCTTGAATGCAGGATGAGCATCTCTAATAGCCTGGACTTCTTGGTCCATCCTCCATACATTCTAGAAAGTTCCTTTATTTCTTCAGTCAGCTGCTTCATTATTATTTCCTGAGCAGCAGCTGAGTGCCCACTGGGTGCTGGGACTTAGGGAAGCCAGCAGACCAGGCTAGGTGGTCTTGTGCCAGCCTCTCCAGCCTGCCTTCCCCTCCTTGCCTCTCTTGCTCCAGCCACCTGCTCCCTGGATCCTCTAGGAAGGACAGCTGAGGGCTTCCAGGGCCATGAGGCCAGGGAGGGACCTTAGTGGCTGAAGCTTGGCTAAAGGGGAGCAGGGCTGACTGGGCAGTCTCACTGCCCTCTTGATTTGGAGTGACAGGATGACAGGACAGAACAARTCAGGCAACTTTGGCCCCATCCCCACCCTCACCCACCTATGGCTCTGCTCCTGTGTGGGTTTTGGACAGAAATAACAGGCAGGGATATGTCCGGATGGGGAGTGCAGTGGAGGGCAGGTGGCCTCTTTCTCTGCAGCCAGTTCAGACTTGTCACAGTGCAGGTTCCCAGCATCCATGAATGCCTCAGGGCTGTAGGAGCAGCAAGGTTGGGGTCAAAAGCTCAGGCAACAGGAAATTGGTTAGGGTCAGTGGGTGCTGATGGGTGTCCTCTGAAGAAGGGTGAGAGGCTAATCCTGGGGCACTCAGAATGTAGGGGCAAAGGAGGGGATATTGAGGTGGGCCAGAGGCTATGAGATGCACTTACAGAAATCAGGGTGCTGGGACAAGTTTTGGGCCAGGAGGACCCACCTGTCAGTCCACTTGTCTCCCAATGTCACTGGGGCTGGTGAAGGACCCCAGGCTAGCAATACATGGGATGCCCAGCAAGGGCCACCAGGTAAGACCCCCATGGAGCTGGAAATCCCCTGGCAACTGGGCAGATAGGCTGGTTAGGATGATTAGAGAGTGTGCCTTCGTCCTGGCACATGCTGGTGCTTAGGCTGAGGCCATTTCTATGCATATATTGTATGTGAGTCACTGCCTACGTGAACATCTCTGTGTTTGTCTATTTCTGTCTTTCTTTGTATTTGCCTAGGGGTGAGTCAGTGTGGGTCTATGTTTCTGTGTTAGTCTGTGAGGACTCCAAGCAGATCCACAGCCCCCCCCCCAGGCTTAGTGCAAATGTAAGGACCCAAAGTCATCTTTTGAGTACAAATTTTGAAGAGTACTCCAGGGGGAGTGCCCAGTGGATGTGTTTCTTCTCAGTTGGAAGTGGGGTCTGCCATGCCCTGAGAAGAGGAGGACAATAAAAGCCATAGTCCTGGGCCTTGGTTTGCTGCCTCTGAATAGGTGGCCTTGGGCTCTACTAGAGCACTCACCTGACAGTCAGGCTTAAGGAAAGGAGGGACCCTTGGATTTTCATCAGTTACCTGAWCAGTTCAAGGAACCGTTCATTGATGGGTATTTATGGGAAGGGGCCTGAGGTCAGAGGCTATTGCTGCTGTCCCAGGCCACAGCCCTGGCGGGTATCCCAGCACTGAGGCAGTGCTGGAGAGAGGAATCCTGGGCCCCTGAGCTTGTAGCCCCTCTGCAGCATGCCAGCTCCCATTAGCCAAGCCTGCTCTGAGTGCTTTCATGTACCCACATATTCCTGCCAGTCTAGGTAGAGGCTGGGCTCACAGGGGCTAAGTCATTGCCCTGAGACCACCTCTTGTCACTGCTGGTACTGGGCTCCTGTGGAATCTGTTCTTCCCACTGAGCTGTGTAGGATGGAGCCATCTTGAGGGTCCTTCCAACCCATTTGAGACTGCTGCTTTACCATTCTCTCCTGTTGTCCAGGCTCTAGGGTCCTCTGTTTTGTGGGAATTGGAATGAAGTCCCATTTCTTCAGATGAAGGGCTGCACTCAGTGGCAGGGCTCCCTTAGGCAGACATTCTCTTGGAGAATGACCCCCGGCTCCTGACACTCCTCCTTCCCTGCAGACTTCCCCATCTCTGCACAGCCCAGCCCAGGCGGTAAGGATGGCAGTGTCTTACTCCCACTCAGCCCAGGTTCCTGGAAATGATTTTAACAGTTTTTGTGTCCCTGGGCTAGTGACTTTTGGGAGCAGTGGCCCTGAGGACAATTTTTTCCCTAAGTCAGCCAGCAGAGGCTTCTGGCCAGAAATAACTTCTGGACAGAAATAGCCAACAAGGCCAGGGGCCTCCAACATGGGTAGACCCCTGGACACCCAGGTCCAGCCCTTCCCATCCCATCCCTTGTCCTTTGCCACCAGCCTTATCACCCACCTCTTTTCCAGACACAGGCAGCAAAGAAGACAGCGGATTTGCAGCCATGGATCCCGTTGGGCATGGGGAGCCAGCTGCCGCCTGCCCTGCTACACCCAGTGCGTCCTTGTAACCTTGGCAACGTGGCTACAGCTGCTGCGTCTTCTCTGCTAAGGATGGGTGGTTCTGCTAGTCCACAAGATTTCCCAGGCCAGGTCGTCGGGGGATTTTCACTTTCAACATTGTGTAATTTTTAAAAAATTTTACATCAAGCCTAAGTTACTTTTGTAAGGAGAAAAAAAAAATCAAAAGGAGAATTTAAAAGCTGTATACTATTACCCATCATGGACAGGTTTTAAACGTGCCAGGATTCGAGTCCTTGTAGACTAGCTCCAACTCCACCACCCTTGGGCCCGCTCTCCCCCATCAGCCTTCACCTGGCCCTGCCCCATAGGTGCCTGGCCTGGGCCATCAGTCCAGGGACTCTACTGGGGTTTCCAACCCCCAGACCTCACCTYGTTTGCCTCCTCAGGCTGGAAAACCAGCCACTGACCATAACCAGGTAGAGCCCCTGAGGTTTCCCCTTCCTGCTGCCTTGTTCTGAAGGGGTCAATGGGAGCTCTGCCCCGTGTCTGATATCACCAGACCCTGGATGCTGCCTGACCCTTCCCCCAGGGAACCTCAGACTTCTGCCTGCTGGGTCTGCACAGGATACGCCTCAGTCACTGCCCTTCCTCAGGAAGCCTCCCAGATGTGGCTCCCAGGCACTGAGCCCACCCTTCCAGGCCTGTACTGAGGAAGGGATTAGCTTGCAGCTCCTGGGGTCTGGAAAGGATCCTGACAAAAGTGCAAAGTGTCCTCCTATGATCTTTTCAGGTGATTGGGGGCTGAGGAGACTTCCTGGAACCTGAGCCCCTCCCCAAACTCATGGGGGCTGCCCTGCTGGACGGGAGATGAAGGAAACACAGTTACCCTCCTCAAGGAAATAATCAGACACAGAGCAGACCTCCCACTGTCCCCTTCAGAGGCTCCTAGAGTACAGTGAACAATATCTACCCCTGAGTTAGAGGCTCCTAGAGTCCCCAGGGCCAAAGCTTCAGCCTCCAGACCCTTCACCTCGTGGTCCTTATTTGAAAATTGCCTCTAGGCACAAGGAATAATTTTAAAAATGCAGGTTGTAGCAGCCTTGTGTTTGTAAACATTTATTCAAAATTAACTAGCATTCTAGGTGTAGTGATGAAGGCCTGTAATCCCAGTGACTTGGTAGGCAGGAGGATCACAAGTTTAAGGCCAACCTCAGCCAATTTAGCAAGACTCTGTCTCGAACTAAAATCAAAAGGACTGAAGATGAGCTGAGCCTGATGGTACACTCCTATAATCCTTATGACCTGGGAGGCTGAGGCAGGAGGATCACAAATTCAAGGCCAGTCTCAGCAATTTAGCAAGACCTTGCTTCAAAATGACTGGAGATGCAGCTCAGTGGTTAAGCACCCCTGGGTCCAATCCTCAGCACCCTCCCCTGCCAAAAAAAAATTAAAGAGCATCAATTGCCTCTATCAGGAAACACAAGTTACTTTCCATTTTACTTTTATAACATTGTTTGTAAYATTTTTATTCTGTTCTGTGACTATAATTTGGAAATTTCTTTTGTCTTCATTCTATATTCAAATAAGAGTCCACTATGGTTTCTCCTTTCCTGGGTGCTCATCATTGTCTGGTTTTGTCGGATGATAAGAATGCCTTTGGGGACTGGGGCCAGAGCTCAGAGCACTTGCCTAGACTGTATGAGACCCTGGGTTCATCCCCCAGTACTCCCCCCACCAATTAAAAAAAAAAAAAGAAGAAGAATGCCTACAGAAGATCTGGGAGGTAATCCCAGAGAAGCAGGAGTGGGGAGGAGGAGGGGCCGAGGCACCTGACCTAATGGCCAGCCTCCTGTGGCCTCTTGAGAGAGCCATCACCTCACAGTCCAGGCGAGGGCAGGTTAGAGAGAGTGGATTCCCTCGCTCTGCTTGCAGGACAGTGATTGCACAAAAGTCCCCTCCTTTGGACTTTGGGAGGCAACAGGGCAGTCTTAGGGGCTGTGTGGAGCACCAGAGCTGAGAGGCACTTTTGATGGTCCTGTGAGGTGCCATTGGGGGCAGCAAGGGCACACATGGGGCCAAAATAGGTAGGCAGAGCTGGTGATTAGGGAGTGACCCAGTACTGGGGARCTGAGAGGAACCAGAAGCTTATGTACTGGGTCAGGCAAAGTAAATTTTGGTTTACTTATGTTTTTACTTTTAAAAAATTGAATATGTAAAAGCTGCAGGATGAGTACAGTGAACAACATCTAGCCCTCACCTGGACTCCCTCCCCTCCCACTCCCCTTTTTCCAAACCATTTAAATACAGATTGCAAACAATGAATCCTTCAGTGTACACCTCTGAGCTCCACCTTCCCTGTCACTCTCAGGATCACAATAGATAGTGCATGTAAAAGAATCTCCATTGACTCAGTGACATCATCCAACCCCCAGCTCCTAYTAAATTCCCCAGGCAGGCCCAGGACAGGTCCTTACCTTACCTTTTGCTGCCCACCACTGGGCTGCCTCCCAGTCTTATTTATCTATGAATCTATTTATTTTGGGGTACTAGGGATTTTTATTTATTTATTAGAGAGAGAGAGAGAGAGGGAGGGAGAGAGAGAATTTTAATATTTATTTATTTATTATCGGCGGACTCAACATCTTTGTTGGTATGTGGTGCTGAGGATCGAACCCRGGCCGCACGCATGCCAGGCGAGCGCGCTACCGCTTGAGCCACATCCCCAGCCCGGTACTATGGATTTAACTCAGGGGCACTTTACCACTGAGCTACATCCCCAGCACTTTTTATGTTTTATTTTGAGACAGTGTCTCACTAAGTTGCTTAGGGCCTTGCAAAATTGCTGAGGCTGGCTTTGAACTTTCGATCCTCCTGCTTTAGCCTCCTGAGTTGCTGGAATTACAGGTGTGTGCCACTATGCCCAGCTCTTCATTTTTCTGCACTGACCTGCAGATAGCTGGCTGCTGGGAGAGACACAGACCCCTACTCTTTGATGCCCACCAAGATAAACTCCGACACAAGTTACAGCCCTCCTTCCTGCTTTATTTTCTGCATAGCACATACCAGTTTCTAAAACCATGCATCTCATGGTTTGCTATGCCTATTGCTTCTTGGTACCCCCCAGCCTCTCMCCACAGCGCCCAGTAACATAAGCTTAACACCATCAGGGAAAGGATTTTTGTTGACTTTGGTCCCTGAAGTTCCCAGTGTGGAGAGCAGGTAGAGAGGGGGAGCCAGCTGGGACAGAAGTGTGAAGGAGGTACCGAGCTTGCTGGATACTTGGGGTACAGATTCCGGGTCGTGGGGCGYGAGGAGGGGCTGCAGGTTCAATAGGTGTGTAGGTTGGAGAAGACACAGAGGGTGGCGAGGGGTGGGATGGGATGGGGTGGGATGGGATGAGGTGGGGTGGAGGAGGACTAGCCCTGAAAATCCAGAGGATGTGAAAGGATGCCAAAAGGAAAGAACCCCACGGAGGACGCAGGATGCGGGAAGACTTGGGAAGTGCGATAGTCTTCCCATCCTGGGACCTGGGCCTCAGCYCTCTTGGAGTCCCAGGTCACATTCAGCCTCAGCGTTGGAGCCGGGGAGGGGCGGGAAGGAGCGCCGCGGGGCCTGCAGCTGGGAGTCTTCCAGGGAGGAGTAGCGTCAGCGCCCGGCACTRCGGAGGTCACGCAGCTTGAAGCAGGAGGCTCTGAGCAATGAGGAGGGACTTGGATGTGGCGCCGCCAAGTGTCCCAGGAAAGCACCTCCGGGAGCTATCCGGTACCCTGGGCACCCGGCGGCCGGGAGTTGCTGGAGGATGACGTGGGTCGGTGTCGGTACWCGGCGGAGGCAGAGAGGACCGATGAGCGAGGGCTGGACCAATGGGTGAGGGCTGGACGGGTGAGCTAGGGCTGAAACCACGAACGAAGGCTGGCCCAGTGGGCGAGGGCTAGACCAGTGAGCCAGGGCTGGACCAAGGGCGGGGGCTGAACCAGTGAGCGAAGGCTGGACCAATGGAGAGGGTTGGATCAAGGGCGAGGGCTGGACCAGTGGACAAGGGCTGGACCCAGGGCTGGACCTGTGGGCGAGGGCTGCACCCGTGGGGAAAAGGCTTTTCTGCTACCAAAAGGCTGAAAGTCTAGCGAARGTGATTTTTTTTTTCCTGACTTATATTTTGAACTGATTTTACACCTACCCAGAACATTCCCCAAATGTCAGGAATGACCTCGGACTTAGCAGCAATATTTCTTTCTTT